GGTGCTCCCAGCGCGGCCTCAACCACCTTTTCCCTGTCGGCAGAAAAGTCCGTGGCCCGTTTCAGTGTGTTGTTGCCCCCCAGGAAAGCAGCAACTCACGTTCCGGGGGGGTACGAGGAAGCGGGGCGGGCCCCGCAGCCCCCGCTCTGCTGCGCGTCCCTGTCCCCGCCTCCTGGCCCGGGCTCGGCCGGGTCCCTGCGCTGCCGGGCGCACAGCTGCACGAGAACACAACCTGCTGGCAGCGTTCGGCTCTAAACAGTTGGTTTCCGTACAGATGTGAACTCTAATACCACTCACCGTTTGAGACACAGCGGTGAGGGCTGTGTTGGCGAGTTACTTAAAACGTGCCTATAAATTCTCTCAACTCTGGCTGTTCCTGAAAGCAAAAACATCCGTTTTGTAAATTATCTGCAGTGCATAGAAGACACTCTGAGTATTATTGCTTCGGTGTCATTAAGCAGTGTTATTTAGGGTTTTATTAAAATTACTCAGGACAAACAGTTAATTTATCTATTAATTACTTTTTTGGTATGACATTTTAATAGAACTACCAGAACAAAAAGCAATTTTCTGGAAGCTGGATTTTGAATAACATTTTATTTTGCATAACAGTTCAAAGTAAGGTGTCCCAAATATTTTTAGCACCATTATTGTCTTGGTATCTGGTTCATAATTGCTTGTTCCTGACAGTTGAAGGTGTTCATTTTTTACTTATTATCAAAGAAACACTTTGACAGTAAGCTGGCCAGGTAAGAGTTCTTTTTTGGCATATATATCAACTGATAAAAGAAGAAGCTGATTGTAATGCTGTGTAGGCTTTATACTGGCATAACTCCAGGTGTTTTACCCAGTGGAAACATTGAAGTAGCTTTGACTTGGTGCATGGGCTGCTGATTTTTCACTTCAGTAAGTGCAGACTTGAGTGCTGATATTTGGAAGCCCTACAGCCATATAATCCCTTGGGTTGTTTTTTCCCTCCTGTACTTCAAGAGTAGTTGAGTGAAAGGCATAAGTATAATTTATAATTCTAAGTATTTAATGAAGACTTTTGTATGTTACTTCTGCTCGAAATCTAGTTTCAAGCACACCATGCCACTGGATCGTGTGGCTGCAGGGCTTCTAACCAACAGCACTCAAGCCTGCACTTTCTGTTCCCCTTTATATAGGGTTCTGTTCCATAGGCCATATTTCTGAATCTGGTGTGACACTTTAATTACTGAGCAGTCCATTTTCTGTTCATATCTTATTTATCTATTATTTGTATGGTTTGTGTATACATAGTACCTCTGTATTTCTTAGTTGATTTGTCAGCACAGCAGCCCTCGGTATGATGGTATATATGGAAATATATTTATCTCACTTCAGTCTTTTAGAAGTTGAATTTTAGACAAGCAGCATGGATTTTTACTACGCATGATCTAACTGAGACTGAATAAACCAGTACTCTGAGGGAATGTTAACATCAGGAAGTAACATGGACCAATACTGTTGGATTTACAGAGTGAAATGGTTGGATTCAATACCTGAAAAGTATTTTGGAGGGGTTTTGCTCTGGGCTAAATGGAACAGCCCTCGGTAAGTGGTTAGAGCACATCAGATGCACTTCTAGATCATGTCTTCCAGTTAGTTGGATCCAAAATTCAGTTCCCGTGACTTTAAATCTCTTTGTGAATCAAGTAAGGTGCGGTAAGTGGGGACAGTTGGGAGATTTGCCTCAAAACTACACTGCTTACCTGAACTAAATAGCTCATATAGACACAGCCTGGGGAGGCGTTGTCTGAACCTGTCCAGCTGAGGAAACTGAGGCAGGAATTCACCAGAACATTTGCTGTTCTTCAGACTTGGCTGACACTGGAGAGTCTGTGCATGTGAAATGTCTCTGAAGACAGACTCTATGTCTGTATCTTCTGTATTCAAAAGCTGCTAATGGTTTGTGATCTCCTGCTTTGCAGCAGTTGAAGAACAGAAGTAGTTCCAGAAAGAGGAAGGGCAGAGTGAATGGAGCCAAGACAAAGGTTTTCAAGGACGTTTCTGCTAAATGACTGGAGCAACTTGGTATTAGAGTCAGCTCTTGATTAAAATAACTGGTTAATGCAGCTTGCTGTTACAAAGCTTGCTTACCTTTCTCCACTCCCTTGAATAGTTTTCTCACTGCCTCTCTTCACATCTCCTTCTTGGGTAGGTGAATGAGAAATTGATTTCCAATGTCTTGTCAATGGAGTTTTTACCAATCCTGGAGGGGAAAATCCAAAGCACGGCCTCCACCCAGTGGTCTGTGGCTACTGAGTGTTTGGGAAGAGAGGGGTATGAAAGCTGGCAAGGTTCTGCCAAATCCCCAACCACTCGAACTTAGAGGTTCACAACTATTGACACATGAAGTGACAACAGAGCTGTCTGTTGGGTGTATCCAGCATTTCTAGCATTTCTCACAGAAGCAGGAAATACAGCATCGGACTTTCCCTTTTATCTTCTCTAAGCCTTACTACTCTCGTATTTCTTACTAATTATTCCTCTGATCACTTCCACTACAATAAAAACTGTATACTGCACAGCTTATTGCATTACTAACCTAGAATACTCTCTTTTACATCAGGCACCAGGATCCATTATGCTTACTGCTGAAATGAATAAATTAGCAAGTAAACACAATAAGAATATTACATTACAAAATACAGCTCATTCCTTAAAGTTAACATTCATATTCTGGGCTGAACTATTTTGGATTTTTAATTTATTTTTCTTTTAGCAGTTATAAATGTTTTACAGGTTGCTTTCTTTTTAAATTGTGAACAACAAACTATTTTAGCATTTGATGGAGAGAATCTTGAATTTTCTGCAGTGATTTATGTAATGCAAGTTACTGGAGCTGCTGCAGTAAACGAACATAGTAAAATTTAGTGTGTAGGTCCTGAATTTGTGATCCAAAGAGCAGAATCCTCTTCAGTGCAGTGCAAGGCATAAGTGTGGCAACTCCTTAATAAAATGTATTTATTTAATACCCGCTCCAGTAGTAACTTAAAACATCTTAAACCCAACATTTTTTTCTTAAACACCTATATGGGAACCTTTGAATTATCTAAGAAGGAAGATGATGTAATGCTTGAATTAAAGTATTTTCAAGTGTATTTTCAGTTTGTTTGATTCCTGTATGTTACAAGCATAACTTCATTTTGAATGTTCAATATTTGTTAATCACAAAGTCGTGCTTGCTCAAAGTCTTGGAGGCTTTAAATTTTACTGCCATATGTAAACACATCAAGTATTATTTCGTTAATGTCATAAAAGCATACTGAGCTACATTTATGTGACATCCAATGTGAACTGGGAAGAAGGGACAAAGCTCGAGAATAAATTAAAAAAAACACGTTCAGTTGCATCTCGTGATAATTTTGGCCTGGATGACTTCCTGAAGACACATCAAGTCAGTAGGAAGCAGAGAAGACACCTTCTGAACCATTCCTTAGAATAAAGATCCCCTGTCCTGATTTTTCTCAAAGTATGATAGAATTCAGAATTTTTCAGGACTACCTACTTTGAGCAGCTACTTTCTTAGACAACCATGGCTCCCACTTGTGTGGAATACGAACAGGTTAGTAATTACACAAGCAGTGTGCGGGAAGGCCCGTCTCTGTGTA